ACGGAAAGCCAAAGATACTGGGAAGCAAGAAGACTGCTAATGAACTGCTTTTAATTAACTGCTATAAATGTACCCCCCCCCCTCTCTTGGGGAGAAGCTGAAGTCAAAGATTAAGGGCTAATGATAAATATCATAAAGTCTGCCATTTGAAATAAATAAATATAAATAAATCATTAGTCCATTTGTTGACTTCAGGTTTCACAGAGTGGAAGGAACATTAAAGCTAAAATGTGGAGAGTGGTGGGGGGAACAGAAGAGTGTTTCAAAGATGTAAAATATACAGACACGAAGGTAGAAAAAAGGTGAAGTGAGTAATGTGAAAGTAGTCGAATATGACATACAGTGGGGTGAGAGTAGTTTGATTTCAGAAGTCAACTGCCAGTTAATAGACTTTTTTGCCGTATGAGTATACGTTGCCCAGGGTGCATCACGTGGAGGTAAGTCTATCGCACACCCACTTTTATATGTCAATTTACTTCAATGCAATTTTCAGGAGACAAAAAATGAATTTGTCTTTCTCAGTTATCACACGAAACTTATCAAAATAATATATCACTTTCATTTTAGTTATCGTCAATGCTATCACTACATCTTATCAGTTGTCCAATGTGAAAAACCCACTTCAAGAAAGCTTCACTTAATCGAGACTCAGATGAGGTTAATGCGTTTAGTAGTCGTTTACTCTACAGTGATTTAAGCACTAATCGATTATCAATATCAGAATGCACAATTAACTGCCTAAGCAAATTTGAAGTCTACTAATGGTGTAACGCATTTTGTCAAATTAATTTTGCTAATTAAGCATTTGTATGTGTGGGGTGAGGTGTGAGAGAATAAAAATATTTCCAGATTCTAACGGGATTTTCAATACTTGTGTGCTTGAAGTATAATCCAAACGTCAATGGTTGAACAAACAGCCATTCCCTCTCCTAAAGGACTATTTTAAACAATAATAAGATTTATTAAATCTGATAAATAGTTTGCTGAAATTGATAAAGGTCAATGATTTGAGCCACTTGTTGCTGAAGCTTCTGAACTATCTGTAATTAGGGACAGTACAGCGCCTCGGTTAGAGGTGCATCTTGACAAAATTTGAGATTTCTTAGAACGGCATTGTACATCAAGTACAAAAGAAATGTCAGAATGATGTATCCGAATGCAATTTACTACCCTTCACCACCCCAAACACATGATTCACCACTTTAGGTAAGTGGTGTTAAAAAAGCAATTCTATTTCCATTAAAATAATATCACGAATTTATCTTTGGCTTCTCGTAAATTGTCAAATGTACTGCGTACGTTGACGTATATGCAAAGATAAATTCTTGCTATGATTTTAATGGACATTTAATAATTGAATAGAAATCGACAAATCTCATCTAACAGCACTCATTTCCACCTACTTCCATCATTTTCTTTCTCTTTGACCCTCTAACTACTTCATGCTGATAGTCTATTATTTACAGTCTACATTTGCACTTTTCCATCTGTGTGACTAATTCGTTGGCTACAGATTTTTTGCGTTGATAGAAAACAAGGAACCTACCATCTCAAGAGACACTCCTCTTTTCTTTCAAGTTGAAAGGAGAAAGTCGTCATATGCCTTCAGGATTGAAACTCAAATGACAATGAATCACAACTACCAAAGCAGATAATTCGTGAGAAGATGTGGGTACTTATTTTGAATTAAAGTAAAACACTGTAATATTCCCTATCTTTCATCATTCACATCTATCTTACGAAATGCTTCAATTGACAGTCATTGAAAATAATCTTCGTGGAATGCAATTTATTTACACAGCAAGTGAGATGTTTTTTCTCTATTAAGCAGATATGAAATGTCAGAATGATGTATCCGAATACAAATTGCTCCTTCCACCTACCCCAAACAAATGATTCACCAATTTAGATAGGGGGTGTTAAATATTAATCTATTCTATTTTAATTAAAATCCTATAAAGGATTTATATTTGATTTCTCCCAAATTGTCATATCAGTATGGTATATGGTGTTTTAGTAAAACTTTTATATGGCAATTCACTTCAATGCAATTTCAAGGAGATAAAAAATGAATTTGCCGTTCTCAGTTTTCACATAAAACTTATCAAAAACGTAAATCACATTCATTTTAGTTATCGTCAATGGTATTACTACATCTTATCAGTCGTCCAATGTGAAAACCCACTTCAAGAAAGCTTCACCCAAACGAGACCCAGGTGAGGTTGATGCCATTCGTAGTCGTTTACTCTACAATGATTAAAGCACAAATCGATTATCAATATCAAAATTCACAATTAACTGCCTAAGCAAATTTGAAGTCTGCTAATGGTGTAACGCATTTTGTCAAATTGATTTTGTTAATTAATCATTTGTGCGTGTTGGGTGAGGGGTGAGGGAATAAAAATATTTCCAGATTCTAACAGGATTATCAATTCTTGTGTGCTTGAAGTATAATCCAAACGTCAATAGTTGAGCAGCCATTCCCACTCTTAAAAGACTCTTTTAAGGAACAATAAGACATACAATTCGTGCATAAATTTCTTTAAAAAATATATCAGAATTTAATCTAACTTGACTGCACACTTAGAAGATTTCCTGTATTACCTACCGTTTTAACATAAAATTTATGGTGCTTGCAAACGTTAAAAGATGGTACATAAATCAAAATACTTAAATTAGAGAAAATTGTCAGTCTGAGATTAATCTCTAATTTTCGTTTATGTGTTCATTCTAGGTGATAAATTGCACTTGAGAAATTAAATTTTACAAAATCCGCCTTGAGTATTCATTTGTGTATGTACTAGTTGATATCACGGAGCTTATATTTACTTCCACGAAGAAAGATGGCAAGAATCTCAGTCACTCAGGTGCTCAATTTCAACTGAACTTGTGGTTTTTTAAAAAAGGGCGTTTTGAAATCGCATTCCTCCTGCTTCACACAAGATACCAATCGCTTATTTTCCACTTGAACATGATTAATGAAACCCAATGAGGCTGCAGAAAAGGTCAGGCATAGTTAATCAGAAATGTTTCAAGGAGATTTATATCGATAAATGCTAACTCCACCATAAACAAGGAAATAAATAAAAAAGGGTAATGACAAATAAATGATTTAAAGTCAACAAGATTAGACATCCAATCAATCTGACGATCGTTTAAAAAGGAAGATCTTCAGCATAAATAACAATAATGATTTTTTTCTTGCAAAAAAACGAGCCCTTTATATACAAATTTTAATAACGCTGAAAAAATATCGGGATTTATTTTGTCGAAAAAATTACTAGACACTATATTGTTTCTAATAATAAAAATGTAGATTTCCAGAAATATTCCTTTATACTGACTAAACAATTCGTTTTTAACATCGGAAACAATTTCATCGAGAAGAATAAATAATGTGAAGTCATCAACGCTGAGTTTGACTTATTTAACTCTAAGAGATTACGCCACAGAGAGTTCTGAGTCTGTCCGGGTTATATGTTAAAGCCACAAACCGCGACATATTTGAGTCGATTTTGGCAGAAAAGCACTTGGCACCACTTCAATTCATCTCCTAAGACGCGTGAATTTGCAGGTGGCATGACACGACGATTCATACATCGTAGATAATTTCATGGAGGTAGGTTGAGTTAAGCCTCAAAGCCAATCATGCATTAGAAATCCACATCAAAGGTGTAGCCCACACGATTGTTAGGTATAAAAGAAGGGTTTCCCTTGGAATTCATGAGTACACACAAGCGAGAGCGATGAAAAATCAGAGCCTCATTTTTGCTTTGCTGTTTTGGACTGCCTTGATAGCGATGGCACCAAAGGCACAAGGAGACGATAATGAAAATGGTGGCTCAGACAATAGCACAAACGGTGGCGCGGGTGGTGGTGACCAAAATGGCAGTGGAGGTAATAACACAGGTGGTGGTGACCAAAATGGCGATGGAGGAAGTGATTCTCAAAAGGAAACAACCACTTCAGCATCCAACATCATTACTCCTATCTTCACTGCTTCAGCTCTTTCCTTCTTATTTACTTTGGCTTTGAAATTCTAATTTTTATTCCTTAAACTTTCACAATATTTACCTCTTTTAAAAACAATATATTTATCATTTTAAATTCAATTAATTGAATTCCAAATGTTAATTTCGCCAGTTTTGTTTTACTTTGTCAACAACTCGATTTATGTCGTATTACGGGGACTTCATTTGAATCTATAAAATTGTCATAATGCGACCATCCGAAGTTGAATAATCATTAACAAGTCAAACGACTTGGAGAGTCATTGTAGTGACTAATAAAATTTATGTTATGAACAATTCGGATGAGGTGGATATAAACTATGTGTTCCATAATCACCATTGAAGCACCGAGTGAAAGGGTAGGTTTCCAATAAGCATTTTCTCTAATCTTTCACCTCGAAATTTTCTCGAGTAATTGTCAACTGAAATTGTCATTAAGCAAAGAATGGTGTACATGATGGGTATTTTACCCATTTCATATTATGCTGTTAATTGAATATTAAATGAATGATTGGCTAATGATCATCCTCACATTTTTACCAAATGATACTTGCCATAAATTAGGTATATTCATTAGTGAAACATCTTCTCCGCAATAGTCATTTTATCTCACTAAGGAAAAAATATGAGATACTCGACAACTGGAGTGCAAATAAACGGGCCAGATTTAGCCATTAACAACAGCCGAGAGAGCAAATTGAATTTCTCGCATCATTTCGAATATGTTGCATTCCATTTATTACAAGTAAAGGTAAAGGTGACATTTTCGGGAGTTGGTGTCTGATGCTGCTCACAGAAAACAATTTAGGTCCTGTCGAACTATTATCAAGTTACCAATCAATTATTAATCAGGGAAGAATTTCATGAAAATGTTCGTTGTTGATCAAACGACTTGATTGAAATTAAAATATGCCAATAGTGATATGTAAATTGAAGTAGTGCAGATAACAAACAGCAAATGGACCACTTAACTGTCCTGCATTTGATTTAAAAATTAACTCTTCATCCACCGTCGTCAATAGCATATATGGCTAGGGCAAGTTAAGAGAGCCTGTTAGATCGTAATAATATAATTGTAGGGAGTTCCGAAGCTTCAACCACAAGTGGGTAGTGTCATTGACCTTTACCAATTTCAAAAACTGAATATGGGCACCAAAGAATCACAATCAAGACAATATATATGAAGACAATATGAAAATATAGGAAAACTGCTGTCGGCGTAGACGTTTTCGTGTTATTATTTATTTCAAATGGCTGGCGTTATGATAGGTATCATTAGCCCTAAAGTTGACTTCGAGCTTCACAGAAAGGAAGAGGAACATCAAAGTGGCAAAAAGTCGAGAGGGGGACAGAATAATGATTCACAGACGTAAAAGAGACAGACAGACACAAAGGTAGAAAAAAGGTAAGATGAGTACTGTGGAGGGGTCGAATATGGCATACAGTGGGGTGATGGTATTTTGAAGCATTATTTGGTAGTATGGCGTTATTTCAGTTTAAGGACGGAAAGGAAAAGAAATCTTTCCATAACTATGCTGAGGAAATGACATTTTGTGTGACAAAGTATGTTTTCATCGGAGTCAACTGTCATCACTTCTGATTAGTTTTAACTGGAGTAAATAAGCCTTAGTGTCCGTAAAAATAAATAGCATTTCACATAATCATGGTAGAAAATGTGTTTTTAAAATAACTTGGGAGTATTAAAATTGTTCTTGAAATAAGGGATGAGAAATAGCTCGATATTGGGAGAGATGTGGTAGGGCGGCACAAGAATAACATAATTTTGTGACTTTCCAGGAGACCTCAAGAGGTGGATGAAATCGGCAAGAATAATATGCAAAATACATCAACGTACGCAGTAAATTTGACAATTTTCGAGTGATCAAAAATAGAATCTTGGTATGATTTTAATGGAAATAGAATTAATTTTATTAAACACCTCTTATCTAAAGTGGTGAATCATGTGTTTAGGGTAGAAAAGGGGAGCAAATTGTATTCGGATACATCATTCTTACAGTTTTTTTCTGCATAGTGTACAATGCCGTTCTAAGAAATGTGGAGGTTTGTCAAGATGCATATAACTGATGCTCTAAACTGTCCCTTATTATAGAGAGTTCAGAAGCTTCAGCAAAAATTGGCTCGAATCCTTGACCTTTCTCTTTGACCCTCTAACTACTTCATGTTGATAGTCTATAATCTATAGCAAACTTTTGTACTTTTTTCATATGTGTGACTGATCCTTTGGCAATACGGTTTTTGCATTGGCAGCAAATAAGGAGCCTACCATCTCAAGAAACACTCCTCTTTTCTTTCAAGTTGAAAAGAGAAAGTCGTCATATGCCTTCAGGATTGAAACTCCAATGACAATGAATCACAACTACCAAAGCAGATAATTCGTGAGAAGAAGTGGGTATTTGTTTTGAATTAACGTACAACATTGTAGTCTTCCCTATCTTTCACCATTTGCATTTATATTACATACTTGTTCAATTGACAGTCATTGAAGAAAATCTTAGTGGAATCCAATCTATTTGCACAACATGTGAGATATATTTTTCTCTATCAAGTGGGAAGTGCACCCTACATCAATTAGCTTTGAAAATGCTCTTTCAAAAGTGGTGTGGGCTGTTGGTTGCACAAAGGGTGTGGGGTATGTTTTCCGAACACAGGCACTTGGAGTATTGTATCGGAAGTCTGAAGTGTTGTTAACGCGTCGAAAACAATGAATCTAAAAGTAAATTCCCCATATATTTCACTATCGCACAATGGTATTATTGTTAGTTAATTATTAACACGTTTGAAGAGTTTATTGTCTCCTTGCTATATAATGTGGCATGGGCTATCGATTTTTGTAGTTGAATGAGCAAATCAAAGGGAATTTTTATCTTTGAATGTGGTAAAAATCATTCAGGGGCAAAATTATGCAAGTCTGAAACAGGAGGACAGCTTATACTCCGACATTTGACCTCTAACTTCAAACTACTATGAGCACCCACTGTATATCGTTTTCGATCACCTCCACAGTACCTACATTAATTCAACCTTTTCACATCTATAAATCACTCTTCAATCCCCCCCCCCAAACAACCACCACCTCTCGACATTTTGTGGCTTTAATTTTCCTCCCCTTTCTCTGAAGCACAAAGGCAACTGAAGGTCTAACGAGTGCCATCTTTATGAGTTTATAAATTTGGTGAAATTAATCTCAACAAGTAGTTAATTGACTTGTTATTCATTTTCCCAAGTCACCAGTGGATTACATTTATTTTTTCCTTGACTTTATTCGTTGGATTGCGTGTCTCCATGCTTGCATACGCATTTATTTCATCCTAAATTATTTGATATTCCTCATTTATGATGCCAGGTTTTGATTTCCTTTTTAAATTTGTTAATTTGGCAAAAATATATGCCTTGATTGAAAATACCCTATGATAGGAAAGTGCCTTCTCAGTTCTAGTTGAGTGCATTTAGTCTATTGTCCGCATGCGTGATGATTATGTGGAGGTTAGACGTTTATTACTGCTTGACCACTTATATACTCTCTTGAGGTTCGATATCTGATCTTCCAATTCGAGCGAACCTTCTAGCTTCTTCGATATTAGAGTTGATTTTACTGGTACTGTGTTTAAATGAATGCATTCTCCTGTTAAGTGCATGAATATTGTATTTTGTTCTTACTGTCATGTTCGAAAATATGTCCATTTGAAATTTGCAATTACAACCACTTCTAGGAATATTTGTGTTTGGGATGGAATTGTTACAGATGCGATTTGGAAATTTCGATGTACAATCATAGTCGAAGCTTTCGAAATCCCACAAGTTGGAATTGATACAGAGCGTGTGATATGCCTTCTGTATCAAATTTAAAATTTATGATCACTGTATATTTCTCCTCCCATGACTCCAGTTAGGTATATGTGATGTTGTAACCCGTATAAGCTTTCATTTATGGTACATATCAAGTCTCAACAGATGTGATGACTGAGTGAGAACCTGAAGTTCTCTCCTAAGGTAGCTCTTCTACCTGCTTCCATAATTCTGCATCTCTGTGACTCGTGTGTTGAGATTCCACGATCATGTAGACTGTCAACTTCGTGAAATCACATTTGACAATGAAATGCCTTGAAATCTACATCACTGCTTAGATTAAATACTTAATGTCAAATATTGCTTTAAAGTAGAAAATTCTAAGTGTTTTAATCAAACAAATGCACATCATGTTTCATAAATTTTGAACAACTTACATCTATCTCAGACCAAGAATTCTTACACCACTGTGAATTTAAATAGTAGAAATATCAATGAATCTTTAGTTATTAATGTTTAACTGATTAAGGGTATTTAATTCTTGATTTAGTTAGCTGCAAATGATAAGTAATACTTACATAACTTATTAATGACATGAATTCAAACGATTCTTAACTAGATCGGAATATGTGACTTTGATTTTAAATTAGGTGTGGAAAATATGAGGAGAAACATTATATTTTGAAACGAATTTAAATTGTTTTTTTTGTAACGTAGAGATACCACCTTGAAAAAGTTTGGTAAACAAATTTTGAGTTCATTTGATGTCTTATCACTAAAATGCATGAAAAACGGCTTTTATAAACCATATCATAGCAAGAGAGGGAATTGGGGTAAACTACTCAAAGACTATTAGAACGATTTAGGAAACAGGAATTTATTACTTCGTATATGGATTGAATGAAACTAACTAATGTCTTCATTTCATGGCCTCACTTCTTAGTCTTACAGCATTTTAATGTCAATCTCTCTCCCCCTTATTGGTAATTAAAGGCTTGAATGGAAGGGGTTTCACTATGGCTCTCCTCTACTCACAACACCATCTGTAATTACAAACTTCTTGCCACCTTTGTGGCCTTTTCTCAGTTTCGGTTGAATGCCTATGCGAAAATGCAATTTAGGACGTTATCCATATTACTAGAATGTCTCATAGAGTTAATTAAATGATAAAGTTGGAGTGAAGACGCGAAAGTGATTTAGAGAATAAGAATTCTCATATCTTGTCA